CTAATTATTCTATACACTTCTTTCTTGCTCTTAAACTTCAAGTCTGTGAGCCAGCTGGGGTGAGGAAGAGGCAGCTGGTGGACTTTGTGTGCCTGAACAATAGGTGAGCAAGGGAGGCCAGGACCACTGATAAGAGCACTGTTGATGATCTGTGGGATGGGAGTGGAGTGGGTGGGGAGGAACACAGTATGTGAACAACAGAGCCAGGAGGTAAGGGGGTAGGGTAAGATAGGGTTGGGGAACAAGTGTGGGTGACTGGCCTATGGGGAATATTGTTGGAGGAGGTGGTGGCAGTGGCTCAGGACCTAGAATGTGGTCCAGGTTCTTACCTTACTGTCAAATGACTCATAGGAGCCACCCTCAAACGGGGAGATAGAAAACAGGATATTTGTTGTTGCATGTCTGAGATGGGGTAAGAATAGAAATATTATAATTGCTGTTAAGGTCTTAAGTGGGTGGTAAATAGCTGGCTTTTGTTTTTAAATAGATAATACATTCACATGGTTCAAAAATCAAAACATAAAAAAGATACACAGTGAAAAGTCCTGATCCCAACCTTAGCTTCCATGGGCCTTATTTACACCTCCCCAACTTTTTAAATTTTATTTTTGTTTAAAATATTACAGATGTCCCTTTTTCTCTCCAATGACCCGTTCCACCCCCAACTTTTTAATATGAAAATTTCAAACATACAGAAAAGTTGAAAGAATAATACAGTGATAATATTTTGCTATATTTGCATCATCTGTGTATCTACCTGTCTTTGCTGAATACTTTGAAAATAAGTTGCAGACATTATGATACTGTATCCCTAAATGCTTCAGCATGCATCTGCTATGAATAAGGGCATTCTCTACATAATCACAAATAACATCATCACACCTAAGAAAAAAATTTTAAATGCCCGATTATCTCTGTTACTCACTTCACGTTCATTTTTTCCCAAATGTCAAAAAATTATTTTATGACTGTTCTTTTTGAAGCAGGTCTAAGCAAGGTTTATGTATTGGTTTTAATGTCTCTTCTTTCTCTTTGAATCTAGAACTGTATCCTCTCCTTATATTTTCCCCCAAGATTTTGGGTTTTGAAGAGACCAGATCAGTTTTGTTGTAGTGTTTCAAATTCTAGATCTGATTATGTCTTCATGTAATCAATTACTTCTTCATGTAATTTTTTCTTGTAAAAATTTCGGTATATAATTTTTCTTGTTACTCTGTCTCCTGAATTTCCTATTAGGGAGAAATTGGGTATTAAGACTTATTTAGACCTAGGTTAGGTATTTTTGGTAATAATACATCCTAGATGATGCCTTATAATTCAGATTACATCACATCAGGAGGCATAAATGAAAGGTCTCACTCTAATTGTTGCTGAGTTTGATCATTAGGTTAAACTGGTAACTGTCAGATAACTCCATTGTAAAGGTACACATTTTCCTTTTGCAATTAGTAAGGAATCTGTGGAATGATCCTTTAGCACTGTGGGAATCTTCTGTTTCTCAACAGTTTCACCAAATGATTTTTAGCATCTATTGACCATCCTTGCCTGAGTGATTTATTTCATTGGAGGTTACAGAATGGTGGTTTTTAAATTTTTTTTTTTTTTTTTTAATATATCTTTATTGATTTCAGAGAAAGGAAAGGAGAGGGAGAGAGAGAGCGATAGGAACATCAATGATGAGAGAGTCATTCATTGAGCCCACAACCCGGGCATGTGCCCTGACCGGGAATCGAACCCCGATCGCCTAGATCCTAGGTCAACGCTCAACCACTGAGCCACGCCCGGCCGGGCTTAAATTTTTTTCTTTACTTCTATATTTGTTCACTGGCAGTTTTCTGTAAAGGAGAGCTTTCCCTCTCTATTACTGAGGATGAATCCTTTTAAAAAGACCAAGTTAAATTGCTTAATTATTTCTCTTTAATTATCAGTCTTCAAAGTAAGAAGTTGATGCACTAGTCTCCCCCAATGATGCTGACTTTGGGGCTGAAAAGATTTATTTTGTCATGTTAAAGAAGTGTTTGAATATTCCTATTTATTTGAGGGTTTTGTTTTTTTAATCAAGAAGGGTTGTTGAATTTTGTCAAATGTCTTTAGTATCTATGATAATAGTCATATGCTTCCTAATACTGATCCTTCCTTGCATTCCTAGAAGAAACTTCAGTTGATCATTATGCATTATTATTTTTTAATATACCATTGTATTCTATTTAAAGTTTGATTTAGAAATCTTGCCTCAATGTAAGAGAGATTGAGCAATATAGGAGAGTGATCTGTAGCTTTCTGCTGCGGTTTGTATCAGCTTTTGATGCTCATGTTATATTTGCTTCATAAGAAAGTTGGGGCCCTGGCCCATTTGGCTCAGTGGTTAGAGTGTCAGCCTGTGGGCTGAAGGGTCCCGGGTTCGATTCTGACCAAGGGCACATACCTTGGTTGCAGGCTCAAACCCTGGCCCCAATCAGGGCTCATACGGGAGGCAGCCAGTTGATGTGTGTCTCTCACATCAGTGTTTTTATCTCTCTATCTCTCTCTGCTTTCCACACTCTGCAAAGCAATGGAAAAAATATCCTGTGGTGAGGATTAAAAACAAAGCTGGGAAGTTTTCTTCTTTTTGTATACTCTGGAATAGTTTGAGATCATTAGACTTATCTGTTTTCTACAGGGTTAACAGTGTTTCCATTAATTCTGTACGTGGTACTTTTGGAGGCATTATCATATTTACATAAACCAGCAATTTTCAACCTTTTTCATCTCATGGCACACATAAACTAATTACTAAAATTCTGCGACACACCAAAAAATATGGTTTTTGCCCCAAAAATAGGTATAATTTTGATTCATTCACACCAGACAGCTGTTGTTGTGTTGGCTGTTGTCACTCTTTTTATTTGACAATCTGAGGGAAAAGAGGGCAGTGCCCCTGACTAGTCAGGTATTGCACGTGTTAAAAATTCTTGTGGCACACCCATTGAAAATCGCTGACATAGACAGATGTAAGCAAAAGCCTGAGTAAAATAGTCTCTTTGGTCCTTTTAATTTCCTTTGTGTCTGAGGCTTTCTTATTTCTTATTTTATATATTTGGACTTTCTTCCCTTTTTATTCACTAGATGAAGTAGTGGTTTAACTGTTTTACTGATTTTTCTCCAAATGTACCAATTCGTGGATTAATTTATTAGCTCTGCTAATGTTTTTCTACTTTCTCATTAATTTCTGCTTTCATCTATATTAATTCCTTCATTTTAGTTTCTTTCGGTTTACATTATTAGTTTTTTCCCTATCTTTTTCAGTCAGATTTTTAATTCATTTTTTTTTGTTTTGATAAAGGTATTTATGACTGTGAATTTTCTTCTTTACTGACTTGGTTGTATTCTTTAGGTTCCAATATGTGATATTTTCCTTATTGTTTTCTAGAAATTTTCCAATTTTTATTTCTTTTTTAACCCAAGTCGAAGGTTTTGTTGTTGTTTTAAAGTGGAAAGGACTTTGTTTTTTTATTTATTTTACGTTTATAATTTTAGTGCAGGGTTATCAGAGTATTTGACTATCCTATTGTTACTTTTTAGATTTATTTAAGTTTTCTTTATGGCCTTTCTTGAAAGTTAATTTTTATTCATGTTCCATGGAGACTTAAAAATGGCTTTGTCTTACCCAGCTGGTGTGACTTAGTGGTTGAGCATTGACCTATATGAACCAGGAAGTCACATTCCTGGGTTGCAGGCTCAATCCCCAGTAGGGGGCGTACAGGAGGCAGCCGATCAATGACACTCTCATCATTGATGTTTCTCTCTCTCTCTCTCCTTTTTCTCTCTGAAATCAATAAAAACAACATTTAAAAAAATTAATTAATTTTAAAAATGGCTTTTTCTTGAATTAAAAAATAACTGAGGGATAGTTTTTCTCTAATATTTATTAATACTGATTATATATTATTCATCTTAAATTTTAAGATTATAAATTCAGTATTTGGCAGTAATGTAAAACTTTAACAGCAAAGCTAAAGACAGTGTATATAGATATTATCTTCTTAAGTGGGAAATTTTTTCTGAAGCATGACAATATTATGCAATTCCTATGCATAATTTCTGTGTGTATAGTAAAGAATACTGAACGTATTCTGAACGTAAACTGAAAATTTAATGACGAATAAAATGTATAGATGTTATAGATAAAGTGGGGAAAAACTTAAATGGATACTTTATGAAGTTTAAAAATGAATTTTAAAATTCTTTTATAAGTGTGTCTTTTTTTTAAAAATTTGATTCACTTTAATAACCTGGAGTGCCAGGAAAAGGGGCTGTATTTTGTTGTCGTTAATCCTCACCCGAGGATATTTTTTCCATTGATTTTTTTAATTTATTTTTATTTTTTAGAGAGAGTGAAAGGGAGGGAGGCAGGGGGAGAGAGAGAGAGAGAGAGAGAGAGAGACATTGTTGTAAGAGAGACACATTGATTGGCTGCTTACTGCATGTGTACCAGTTGGAGCAGGGATCAAACTTGCAACCCGGGTACATACGTGCCCTTGACTAGGAATCGAATCCGGGATCCTTCCGTGAGTGGGCTGATGCTCTAACCACTGAGCAACACCGACCAGGGCTAGAAGAAGTGCGTCTTTTATTTAGTGTGTATACAGAATATTTTGGTTTTGGCACCAAGTATCTTCACACAGTGTGCAGCATGATGTCAATTTATTTTAATTTGACAGATTTAAAAATGAAGGTAGAGGGAGGGCTATAATGCTTAGGACCCCAGTTTCATGATTCTTAAGTGAAACTGGTGTATATCCCTGAGTTCGCTTCTATACTCTGAACGCTTGTTGATGAGTGGTTTAAGATCTCAGAAAAAAAGATACTTTTTGTAGACTTAAAGAAAACCCTATTTTAACATTGGAGATGTCCAAGTTGACTTGATAACTTGTGATATTTCTATTAACTTCTGTTGCAAAAATAGGTTACCTGTGTAACTTCTATATAATATTGTCACTTTCTTTTTCTTTTTTTTTTAGAATTTTTATTTGGCTGCTACCTTGAAATATAGGCCCTAAAAATGCCAGCTTGTTTGGATGTAGAAGATGACCTGGATAAATGATAAAAATTAAGACATTTTGGTGAGTGAAGCCTTATGTGAGAGAGTGGAATGCCTTAGCTTAATTCCAAGCAATGGAATGACTCTACCAACATTACATAGCGAGTAAAATACTCTGTTTCCTTCATCATCTAGTGTTTCGTCAAAGGGAAAGATAGTCCTTCAGCCAGATATGGGAGACAGCATATTTAATGAAGCCAAAATTCACTAAATTTGAGTACCTTCTGTTCTTCTGGGGTTAAGACCTTGCTTAATCTCTTTTTTTCTTTGGGAGTCCACAGACCTCCCAAGAGGCACATCATAACACTTAAAGGCATTTTAAATATCTGGTCTCCTCCAGCAGTGCACCAAACCCACATAGTTCACTCAGGCATAGTGCTGTACTAGTCAAGCACATGAATCATACCTGGATGTCAGACTTAATTTGAAATTGAAAATAGATGGCTTGTGGGCCATATGCAGTTGCAGTGTGTTTCATTTGGCCCACAGAGTATTTTCCAAAAATGCAATCTCTTAAAATCTGAAGATTTCACTAAATATATGGATTTTAGTCTTTTCTTAAAATTCAGAATATTTATTATTTCTGGACCTTTACAACTCCTCCCACCCCTCCAAAAGAAAATAATAAGCTGGAACAAAGTTGTGGGTGCTCATCATAGATGGGTATTTGAGTTTCCAAACCACAGTATGTGCAAATGCATTTAATATCCAGTGTTCTCCTCTTAGTTATTTTACCTGCCTGACTCCAAAAGGTATGTGAGTTTGTGATATCTGATACAGATAATGGTGTCTTGTCTTTTGCTCAAATGGCGGCCAAGTCAAATAATTTGAATAGCCTGTGACAATATTTTACCCATTATTCAGCTACCTGCACTAGGTAAAAATTCTGAAGAGAAAGGACTGGTGCAGATAGCTAAATGTATATAATATGTATGATATATATATATTTAAACATTTATTTTTAATCCTGCTGTGATTTGGAAGATGTCCATAAGTAAGCTTCTGAGCATTGCTGATGTCTAATGGAGTTTTCCCTTGGAGCAGTACCATGTTACTGGTATGCTTGCTTTTTCCTTTTTTTTTTTTTGGTAAACTTTTTATTATGAACAATTTTAATCATGTATAAAATTATAGTACAAATAATACGTATATACCCGGGACCTGTAGTTAACCATTATTAACATCTTGTTTTGCCTTATTTGCTTAATGTATTTTAAAGTAAATTACAGACATCATGACATTTCACCCCTAAATGTTTCAGTATGCATCTCTTAAGCAACAACAAGAACATTGTCCTATATGGCCACACCACCATTATTATCACACCTAACAAAATTAGTAATAAATTTTCTAATTATCCTAAAAATGTGCTTTACACCTTTTTTTTCCAAACCAAGATCCAATAAAGGACCATACAGTGCATTGATCTTTAAGTCTCTTAAATCTCTTTTAATCTAGATTAGTTTTACCCACCTTTTACTTTCCCCATGACCACTGACTTGTTGAAGAGGTCAAGCCAGTTGTGCTGCAGAAACTCTACACTCTAGATTTGTCTAATTATTTTCTCATGATGTTAAATTGTTCCTTTGTCTCCTTTTAAAAACTTGCTAGATTCAGGTTAAACATATTTGGCAAGACTATTTCATAGGTAATGCTATGCATTTAATACTGAACATAATTTCTGGTTGTTTTTGTGTTAATGATGCTAAGGTTGATCATTGTGTTCAGGTGGTGACAGTCGGGTCCTTCCATTGTGACGTTAGTTTCCCCATTGCCAAGCAGCAAATCTGGGATGATACTTTGACATCATGTGCATATCCATTTGTGTGTCAATATTTCACATAATGTTTTATCTTTTTAATGATCTTTGCCTGAATTAATTTCATTCGTATATCTATTTTATTCTACCTTGGAAATGTAGAATAAATAATATGCTTACTTTTTAAATCTCTCCTGAATATTACATTTTTTTTTAGATTCTTAATAAAAAATCAAAAGAGCCCCAATAAGAAGTGAAATCCATAGGTAATCTAGAAATTTATTTGTGGATGAGCAAGGTAACTGGTGGTTAATCTCAGCAAACCCAGAGAAATAGCACATACTATCTTGTGGTAGGTGACCGTAAGTGAGCAAATGAGTCTGTTGAAATAGTTAGCTATAATCTGCTCTCTCTCCAGGAGTCAGTTGCTGAACTGCATTTCATACTCAAAGATTAGTCATTTTTATATGAATTCTTTATTAATAGATTTTAACTGGAATTTTCTCAATGACGTTATCTAAAAGAAGTTTCTTTAAGAAGTTTTTTTGGAAGGAAGGCCAGCAATTTTTTTCATAGACTGCCTTTCAGTTTCTTGTTTTTTGTGTAGTGCCCATAGTACTGTTAAACTGGTAATTCTTGAATTTAAATTAGCTGCCTTGTGTGTCTGCCAGTAGAGGGTTTTCAAAATCTTGATATACAGCCTTCATGGTATGACCAATGACCTCTTTAGAAAACTGTCAAAGTCCAGGGTTTTAGTTGGTTTTCTTCTTTTCAATTAAAGATTTTTTTGGAAAACGTTTCTTAAACTTTAAATTCTCTTCTTACAGTTGTTCCAGCTTTGGAACAGCTGCTAAATAGCTACAGTTTTTCATGAAATTTAAGCAATCACTCTTTTTCCTGCTGAGCAGCAGCTTTTAAGCCCTAAAAATATTTTTAAGCTTTGTTTATTTACCTTTAAAGTTCTTTAAACTCTGTAAAGTGCAGATGGCAGTTGACTAAGGGCAGTGGTATTTCTAAAGGATTTTCTGAATGCTGTTATTTTTTACCCACCTAAATCACACTGTTCCGTAGTAACAGTTACAGTACCAGACTATAAGGTGCTCTGGTCAAATTTAAAAATTATTTTCCCCATGTTTACTCATAACCTAGGACTTTTCCCCTCTAAAGATTGTGTGGATTGGTTCTTGGAAAGCCTTCACTCTTAGAGTTTCGTGACTATTTCAGAACACAAAAGTTAATACATGTCCCGTTTATTCAAGGAATACAACCATATTACAGCATGTTTAGCTCGTGTTTCCCTAATGAACTCACAGCATATTTGGAAAATAAGATTTACCAGCAAACTACCAACCTAGCACAATTACTGTTGATTTTCAGTCCTTTTTTCTTATCCATCTTTTTTTTAAAAAAAGAAAGAAAACATAGTTGTAATTATAGTCTATATAAGAAATTTTTTAAAATTAGATTTGTGTGAGGTTCTTGGGTTTCCATGGCATTCTTGCTTAACACAAATGTGGAAAATTAATGTTCATTCATTCATGTTTGGGTTAAGAATGTGATCTTCAGTCCCAAAGCTAATAGAAGAAATGGCCACATGGTATGTTCTTTGATACGTGTACCTATCAGTCGGTATTTTCAGGCAACATAACTGAAAATAGCAGAAAATGTCACTTCTCTAAATCTAAAAGTTAAAAAGTAATTTAGTTCTGTCCTAAACACAGTTCTTTGCCTCTATAAACATGTTAACCATTTATTTTCCTTTCATAAAAATATTTTTAAGCGTTTTTTGTATGTTTGTTTTGTTTTTGGATCATTATTTTCAGCCATACCACAATTATTAGTCCTTAAAAAGGACTCTGTTGTGTCAGGGCACATGCTGGGGTTGCAGGCTTGATCCCCAGTCGGGGGCGTGCAGGAGGCAGCCAATCAATGATTCTCACAATCATTGATGTTTCTATCTCTCTCTCTCCCTCTCCTTTCCTCTCTCTGTAATCAATAAAGATATATTTTTTATTTATCACACCTTTGAAGAACCTACATACATTAATCCAAAATAATCTGAGAAAGGAAGGAACCGAGCCCCCGAAGACTGGTTTCAAGCCAGTACCATAACCACTATGTCTTTCCCTATAATGAGATATTAGTAAAGCTTACATAACTTTGTCAAGGTTAAATTATAGGTGAAACCCCTATATATCTCTATGGCATACCCCTTTCAACTAGGTTTTCAAGATGCAATATCCCCTATTATAGAAGAACTACTAAACTTTCACGATCATACTTTAATGATCGTTTTTCTAATCAGCTCTCTTGTCCTTTATATCATTTCACTAATATTAACAACTAACCTAACCCACACCAGCACCATAGACGCACAAGAAGTAGAAACAATTTGAACAATTCTGCCAGCTATTATTATAATTGCCCTCCCGTCATTACAAATTCTTTACATAATAGATGAGATCAATAATCCTTCCCTGACCGTCAAAACCATAGGTCACCAATGGTATTGAAGCTATGAATACACAGACTATGAAGATCTTAATTTTGACTCCTACATAATCCCAACATCAGACCTGAAGCCTGGAGAACTACGCTTACTAGAAGTAGATAACCAAGTGGTTCTCCCTATGGAAATAACTGTTCGAATACTAATTTCATCTGAAGATGTACTCCACTCATGGGCTGTACCTTCCCTAGGATTAAAAACAGATGCCATCCCTGGTCTCCTGAATCAAACAACTCTACTATCAACCCGACCCGGCTTATATTACAGACAGTGCTCTGAAATCTGTGGTTCAAATCACAGCTTTATGCCAATTGATTTTTTAAATATATCTTTATTGATTACAGAGAGAGGAAAGGAGAGAGAGAGAGAGAGAGATAGAAACATCAATGATTGAGAGAGTCATTGATTGGCTGCCTCCTGCACGCCCCAGACTGGGGATCGAACCCCGATCACCTGGATCCTAGGTCAACGCTCAAGTGCGGAGCCATGCCCGGGTGGGCAAGATATATTTTTTTTAAAAGGGGGGGGGGCTCTGTTTTTTAAAACGGTCCACATAAAAAATAATAATAAAATAAATGGTCCACATAAAAGACTAGGATTTTAGGCAGTCCTCCAGGTGCTTTTAGTTGGATCAAATTGTGCTTTGCAGGTTAGAGAAAGAGGAGGGCTTTAGAAACCTTGGCTTCTCTAAAGCTTTTGTCAGGACAGGAGTAAGGCAAGCCTTGGGGAGCTCCTTGCACTGTGTGGTTAACCAAAGGCTTATATAAAATAATCCTCAGAAAATACTTGTTTTATTTTCTTGTGGTCTCTTGTTCCCTCCTCCCCATACTCTAGACTTCAAAAAGGTAGCACATAACATAATAGACATAAATATAACATAATAAAAATAATTTTATTTAAAATTGGTGTATTTTTATTTCTAATATCTTTAAGAACTAAGTATTATAGAATATCATAATTAAAGTAGTTTATTTTGCCCAGCCATTGTTGCTCAGTGGTTGGGTATTAACCCATGAACCTGGAGGTCACAGTTCGATTCCTGGTCAGGTGGCATACCCTGGTTTCGGGCTCAATCCCCAGTAGGGGGCATGCAGGAGGGAGCCGATCGATCATTCTCTCTCATCATTGATGTTTCTGTCTTTCCCTCTCTTTTCCTCTCTCTGAAATAAATAAAAACATTTTAAAAAATAGTTTATCCTGTCATTTCTAGTTTTTATAGGACTTCCTTTTTACTTGACAATTAAATTACAGTTTTCACAGAAGTATGGATTCTACATTGTTGATTGTATGATTGTGCATAGCAGTGCTTTTTCTGTCTTCTCTTTCAAAGGTTTTCTTATTGTCCACTTGGCACATGCTTCTGGAATAATATTCACCATGGTTTTGGATGACCTTCCAAACTTAGAAGACATCTATACTTCCTTGTGTTCATCAACAGTGGAAGACTCAGAGATGGATTTTGACTCTGGACTAGAAGATGATGACACTAAAAGTGATAGTATTTTGGAGGATTCCACGATCTTTGTGGCCTTCAAAGGAAATATAGATGATAAAGACTTCAAATGGAAATTGGACACAATATTGGAGAACGTGCCCAATTTGTTACACATGGGTAATTTGCTTTAATTATTTTTTCCTTCTAATTGTTTGCCCTTCTTTGGTGTTTTTGAGTTTTACAAAGTAAAATTTTGCTGTACTGGTTTGAAAGACTGGTTTTAATAGTAAAGTTGGAATTTTAGGGCTTTTTGTGTTTTGTAGAAATGCTATTGTGTTTCTTTTATGTTCATGAAGGAACTGAACTTAACATTAGCAATACTTAAATAACCTGCTCTAGTGGATAGAAGTCATTCTCAAGACCCAAATATGTTTATTGTTTCTAACTCTGTGGTCTTCAGTTTCCTTATGTGTAAAATGAAGACGTTAGACTGGATCCTTAAGGCTCCGTAAAGCTTACAAAAATCTTTTACTCCATGGTTCTATTTCAAGTATACTTGAAATTTGTTCTCTTAAATTTTAGATCAGAGGTTACTGACCAACAGCCTGCTGGATCCAGCCATCAGCTACATGTTATGGCCCACTTTACTTGTTTTATTTTGTTTTAATGTTTGAATTTCATTGCCAGTGCTTTGAAATTTTAAATGCTTTACATAAAAATCCATATTTTGGATTTGTCTGTAAAAATAGGAAGATCTGATAACTTTGCGCTCTCCCTCTGTCCCCGATGGTGCTGAATAGCAGCTGCCACTGAAGGCAGGCCCTCACCTCACCTCACCACAGTTTCCATCTGATCCCTCCACACATTTAGATTACCTGTCTTGGTCTTGTGGCCATTTGTGTTTTTGAACCTTAGTTTAGATGTTCTCCATCTTTTCTGGTTAGCACAGTTATTTAATTCCTTCAGACGTAGTGCAAAGCCTAGGTTTTATCCCTTCTATCACAAATCTTGATTCGATCAAGTGCTCATTAGCTTTTTTTAGGCTTGTGGGGGTTTTTCTTTTGAGATTTTATGTCAGGAGGGAAGCTGCTGTTTTTTCCTAGTACTTTTTTACTGTGTTATATAAGACTTCTTTATAGTTATGGATTATTTAGTATAGTATTAGAGAATTTTATGTGTTAAAGTTGCAGTTATCACCATCATTGTCATCATAATCACAGTCATAATCTATCATAAGGGCCCAGCTGGGCCTGAAATTGTTCATTGCTCTTAATTACCCACATTTCCCCCCCATGTTTTTAAATTGCTGAGTCAATTTATTTATGGCTTATAAATAAATTACCAAACCCTGATTTATGCTGTCATCAGATTATATTCTTGGTGCAGAAAAGTATTTTAAGTCATATCTTCTCAAATATGATAGAAGCTTAAAAAACTTTTAGTGAAATATAACTACAGGATAGACAAGGATTTTTCTGCAACCATGTCACAAGTAGATAATACCATAAACATATTTGATGTTTGTCTAGACCACATACAAGATTTCAGTACTCTTCAGATTAGGAAGAAGCCCTGTAGCATCTGTACTCTGTGGAAACAGGATCCCAAGCTTCCTGCCTTTTGCTGTTTGGAGGCATAAGTGTCATGGAAAGGAAATTGACCTGAGAATCAGAGCTGGATTTTAATGCCATCTCTGATGCTGCTAGGTAGCCACAGGATCCTGGGCCAATCACTTAGCCTTTCTGGGCTTCAGTTTCCTTGCCTATAAAATAGATTTGGACTAAATATTGCCTAATTCTAAATTTTTGTGGTTGTATTATGTCACTGCTCTTAGCAGTGAGAACAAGTGAACTTCATGTCTAGGTAAGTTAACTTTCAATGTATAATAGTTTTAGAGTTGGCAGAGGCTTTAGGCAATATGTAGGCACTTTCCCCTATCCATGGATATTTCTTATTTTGAGAACAGATATGCCCACAAAACCATTTTCTTAATATTGGAATGTATAACTGAATAGAGGATACAAAAGATTTAACTTAGCTGAGTTTTAGCAAAAGGGAAAATTATTTTGTCTGGCATTGTTGAGAAAAAAGGTTTTTAATCTGCTGGACCTGAAATTTGCTCTCCATCTGTAAAATATAATTACAAACAATATTATTCCTCAATTCGTTAATTTTTATATCTTCTTTTAAAAACATGTCCTGAAGTTTGCATTGACTTTTCAGACTTGCTGAAATGTAATGTTTTCATATCCTAACCAAAGCATGGTTGTCAAATTATGTGGTTTTTCCCCTCAGTTTGATGTGCTTCAGTGAAAATTCTACTGTTGTTTACAGTAGGAAAAGATTTGAAAATCAAAGACATAAAGAATCAAGACTTAAGCTCTCCTTAAACTAAAGCATTTATATGACATTGGAAGATATGTTTGCTCTCTGTCTTTATAATTATCTTCCACAGAGATGCTCAGTGAATATTTAAATACGAGTATTAAAATTTCAAAATGTTTTGCCCTGGCCAGTGTGGCTGAGTGATTAGAGCATCGGCCTATGCACCCAGAGGGTCTCAGGTTCTATTCCCAGGCAAGGGCAAGTACCTTGGCTGCAGGCTCCATCCCCAGCCCTGGTTGAGGCAGGTGCAGGAGGCAACCACTCAATGTGTCTCAAGTCAATGTGTGTGTGTGT